CTCAATCCCTTCATCCCCCAGCCTGTACTGATACCGGGGATTGCTCCGACCCAGGTGCAGGACCTTGCACTTGGCCTTGTTGAACTTCATCAGTCAATGCAATGGAGTAGGAAAATAAACTGCTAAATGGGTCAGCCAAAATGTGTACGTTGCACACGAAGGTGGAGTCCTTTTAGAGGTGATCTACGTGTTAGTTTTGGTCCAAATAGGCTGGCTGTCTTGGGTGGCTTTGTGAAAAGTATTACTGTATAATGTTGCAATAATTTTAGGGGAAACAATCATAGTTTAGCTGTTAAAAATCATTCTATGAAACATTTTGCAGGGTAATTCTGGGAGAATCCAGTATTGCCTGCAGTAGCATCCCCAGCATCGTACATAGTGGAAGCAGGCTTACAGCCAAGCAAGTCTTAGAAATTACTTACTTTTCTTTTGACTGGAATTTTATATTCGCTCACTGTTCCTATAGATGAAAATATATTCTGCTTTCTTGCAGAAGATATTCAAGGCATTCATTAAATTGGCAATTAAAAAAATTCTAGGTTTTTTTTTTTTTTACTTCATAGTTATGTATGTTCAGTAATATTCACAAGAACTTTGCCAAGGGATTTTGCACATAACGCTGTTTTAATTCTGTTGTTGATGCACTTTTTTAAGCTATGTCAGGATTTATTTTCTTATTGCCTATTAAGTTTCCTGTTATTCCTCCGTAGGTAAGAAATCTCTGCTACATGGTAAGCAGGAGAGAGAAACTGAAGTTGTCTCACAGTAAAGTACATGAACAGGTCTTCAATTTGCAAGTCCAGCTCATTAATCAGGAAATTGCTGCAGGTAATCATATAAATGTAAAATATTTACAAATTCTATCTGTATTTAAACTAAAAAATGTGTTCTTTTTATGTTCCTGCTTTGTGTTTTTAACACTGTAAATCTTCCTTTAAAAACTTTCTTCAAGTACATAGTCAACAAAAGTAGCAACATACACAAAACGCTTTGAACTCTTAAAATATTTACTTGGATATTTCTTTATTTTGTGGCCGTTTCTGGTATATGCCTATTAATTATCAATCACTATGGCATCCAGATAGCAGAAACGAGCTGGTGGGGATCTTCATTTCCTTGGCTGCTGTTTTATGGTACTGTTTCCCCACAGCAAGCTCTGCGCTGCTGCTTGGTTCTCCAGCTGAGAAGGCTTTTTGCTTGCTGTCAGTATTTGGTTCCTTCAGGCAAAAGAGAAGAGTGACTGATGGGAATCGCTGTTGTTCTCATGTTGCCTTGCATGCTTGATGAACAGCGCAAAGAGGCATTTCTCAGCCTGCCAGCTGCAGTTACTCTCCTTCCTTCAAAAAGAGTTTTAAGTACTTTGGTTTTTAATAGTGAGTAGTAACTGCTTAGGAATGCTGATGTACCAAAACCCACTCTGCCCTTCATTTTTATAGTGACCGTCTTGAAATGAGGAACACAACATTTGGAAAGAGGAGGAGTATATATTACAGTGCAATTACTTTTTTTTTTTTTTAATAGGGAAGGCAGCTATTTCTTCAATGTCAAATTAAGATCCCTCTCTTCTTTCAAGATACATATTATGTTTTTCATGACCAATTTAGAGGGAAGTCTTTGTGCTTTTTTTCTCTACCCTTGAAACATGGATAGGTTTCGTTAGTACTGACAAGGTGGTTTTTTTAAACTGTTTTAGATCAGACTAGTACTTTGTGGAAGCAGCAGTACTCTAAAGCACTTTGGTTTTGTGTAAATGCATTTTATTGGAAATGTCTACTAAATTTATTTTATGTCTTTACAAATACAAGTGCTTTTTTATGCTTATTAGAATAGCTTGATAGCTACTTTGCAATGGCGCTGTATGCGTATATCATAAAGACTAATATATTGGGGTGAAAAGACTTCTAAAGCATAGAGAATTTTATAATACAAAGCAGAGGGTTGAACTAAGTCCAAATTGAAACTCACTTTGAAGCATTGTTTTTTCTCCATCCAAAACTGAATATGAACCTTTTTTTATAGCTTTGTTGGAACTACTTCAGTCATATCTCGAAACTGGTTCAATTCACTGGCCCTGTAAAAAGGGCACATTGTTGTTTTTAATGGAAATGCTAAAATGCTTACCTAAATTCTGAAACGGTGGGTAATTTGGAACAGTTTTCTTTATCCCAACTTCTCTTTAATGTCCTAAAATAATTTCACACTAATTGTTTGCAAATGCTTCTTACTGTTGAATGACCTTCTAATGGACTATAAAACTTGTTACAGATAACAAAACGATTACCCTCTTTTAAAAAAGCCTGTTTTTTCTTCTGCCCCCTTGTCTCTTTCTCCTGTAGGCCATGCCCTGACAAGTGCACTAGAGAACACACTGTTCTACCCACCTCCCAGGATCACCCTGAAGTTAAAAATGCCCAAATCAGCACTAGGAGACTGCAAAAATAACTCTCTGAAGCCTGGCAACAGACCGCTTTCTCCTGACAACAACAGCACTGTTTACAGCAAACGGAGCGTGCCGATGTCAAAGGAATCATTTGAAATTAAAGCAAAATCTTACTCCAGGTATCAGCATGACAGCAGAAGTAACGGATTGCTGGCAGGGATTGGCAAGCCTCGGAGCGAGGCGAAGGATTCTGGCCCCACACAGATGCCGGAGTTTCACCGGGCCCAGCCGTCCGGGAAGCCCTTAGCACTCCAGGCTGCTTTGCATGGACAGTCTTCCATTGGGAATGGGCGGGTGCAGCAGGAGAACTCGAGGCTGGCAGCCAAGTCCAACGGTCTGATGGGCAGGGCTGGAGACGTGAGCCAGAGAGACAGCTCCAGCCAGACACCCTACGAACAAGAGTCCGTGCTCACGGCTCATTTGGCCAGCCAGAGCGGTTTCAGAAAATCCACCATAGAACATTTTAGCCGGTCCTTTAAAGAGGCTACCAACAGTCTGGTGAGGACCACAGAAGATCTCCGGTGCTGTGAAAAGCCAGCGAGAAGACTTGCAACAAAAGATCGCTTGTGGAGCAAGCAGACGCTTGAAGGTGCTCCGTACCAGGACAACGACGGGTATTGTCCTGACTTAGAACTGAGTGACTCTGAAGCAGAAAGTGATGAAAACAAAGAGCAAGTGAGGTTAAGACGAAGTAGCTCAGAGAGAGAAAGCCCAAGTAAGGACTTTGGAAGAGATTGCCACAATAGAAACAAAAAGAGTATGATTTCTCACAGTTCAGTACAAAGGTGATTAGAAGCCCCCACGGGGTAACTCAGCCTTTATGTATTCCAGTGTACCAGTGCAGAGCTCAGCATCAAAAGGTTCTAGAAAATAGCCCAGGACCTACATTAGGAAGAGTTGCAGTAGGGGATGGGGGGAGGGGAGAGAAATCAGAGTAGTTTTGTTCAACTGTGAATTGGCTTGCAGTCTTCGCAAGGTTAACTGTGTTGTTGCGAAGTCGTGTGGAAAACGATGTCTTTTATTAGAGGGTAACATCTGGGAGACCACGAAGTGGTTAATCCTTGCGTAAATTCAGGAAACTGCTTCCCCCTTGCCAGCTTATGCGCGAGGCAACGTGTTCATGTTATGTCAATCTTGTGGTGGTGGACAGGTATTAAAAAAGTCCTTGCATTGCTTTAACATGTTGCAAGAGACTGCAAATGGAGACACTGAAACTGCATTCTTACGGCACCTGCAGTATGGCTTTGATCCAGCAACGCACTTGCGGATGTGTTAGGAAGTTAAGCGTGTGAAAGTCCTGCTGGTTTCCCCCGGGAACGTTTGTGCTCAGATCTCCGAGCGCATGCCGGTGTGCTCTGCTGGATCAGGCCCAAAGTGACTACTAAGTGACGATCCTCTTCTGCAGGAGGCTTTGAACTGCAGTGGCATTTGCAGGCTCCTTGCGGAGGGTGGAAGCAGGCGTCGCTGGCGCTGCCAAACTCGCTGACCTCTAGATGTGCCCCCATTCCCTGCTCTTGCTGAAGGTTGTGTTTCTCTTCACAATAATTTGCTTATTTTGTAAATATACGACTTCTAGTACTTCAGTTTTTTTAATCTCTGTACATAGTTGCTTGTTGTGGGATGCACTTGTAAATATTTTACCCAGCTAACAAGTACAGATGGCTAATTTTGTGGATAGTGTTTACAAAAGTAGATGTACTACTTCAAAGAAAAATGCTATTTGACACTTAAATTTAGGCAATCACCGGTGATGCCAGGTTCCTCTTGAAACAGGTTTCGTGTCCAGAGGTGTTTGTACCTGGTATTTTTAAAATAAGCTGAATTAGAAATAATTTTGTCTGAACTTTTTATGCAGGCACAAATTTTCAACCCTCGTTGCCTGAATATAGGCGTAGGAGCCTTATTTCTGGCATCTAGGTCTGTAAAATTTTAGCCAGTCATCATTTGGAGTATTTTTTTTTTAATTGCTGAAAATTTATTATTTTATTAAGCTGCTTTTCAACCTCTGGATCAGTTGCTGTTTCCCAGACTAACACTTTTTTGTATGTCTTTAAAATGAGCAGTTGTTAAGTAGTGATCAAATTTCAGCCAGTACTGAGGAAGCGAGAAGGGAAGGGGAATCCTTTCCTGTTCGTTTCAATGACAGGGGATTTTTGTTTGAATGCAAACAAACTTACTGTTTTCCAGATGGTGTTATGTTGATCAACAAAGTAACTGCACTGTTTTTCTCTGAAATGCTGTACGTTTCATAAATACACAACATTCTCAGTCCCCACATCACTGGCTGAACCAGGCCGTAGGTTGTATAGGGCACGATACACGGCTCTTTTCTGTTGAGGGTTCATTTTGTCTAGAAACAAAAGGTGTTCCCCACCCAGCGTGAAGACGACTATGCAGAATCCACCTGTTTTTCTTCATAATCTTAATTTATTGCTTTTTAGCTTGGGAAATGGCAATGACATTTTTAGATTTGTTTTAAACTTTGAAATCTCCCTAGTTGCAATAGGACTAGCAGGTCAGGGGCTGGAGGACTTTTCGGTAGTGAAATAAAAAAAAGTATACTTGGCAATTCTGCTCTGTTTGCTTCATGCATCTTAATTTTTTTTTTTTTACTTCTTGATTTTATGTATATTTGTGTAATTGATCTTTCTAGAGCTGTATCTTCAAAATGATTTCTTTTGGTGTAAATAAGCAGTAGCTTTTTAGGTTTCCACATATTTTATTTTAACGGGAAATGCTTTGTGTTCTAAGCCATGGGTCATTCAGAATAAGTAAACAAATGTCTGTTCATTTGTACTCCAGTTCTGATTCTCTAGGTTCTCCTTCGATATTTATTAGTAATCCTCTCCTGCTGGTCATGAAATTTTATGAAGCTCGTATTGGGAACACTTATCTGGGAGGTCAGCAAAGCCTTCATGTTATTTTGTGGCCGGAAGCCTATGACAGAAGGGAGGGAAAATGGTGCTTCAGCAAAACTCAGTGTTTCTGCTCTTCTGGGGTTATTAATTCAGTTGTTTCCAGTCTGGGCAATGGTTTTGCTAATTTTTACATGATTTTAATAGATATATGAAGGAGCCCTTGGTTATGTAGTTCTCAAGTATTGTCCCCAAAGTGCATTTGCTAGTTTTTATTGTGTGTTCGGTGGCTAACTGTTTGAAGTATTACCTCTTAACCTTATTTGTCAAATTTTTTTTGTGTTTTTGCATTTTGTTTTATATATATAAATATATA